TGCAAACGCACACTTCTTGGGGTTCATCCTCATGTTTACTTTTTTCATGATCTCAAACACCTTCCTCATATCCTAAACATGCTCCTCTTTCTTCCTGCTTTTGATCATGATTGCGCCCACATAGGCTTCCATGGTGACCTCCAAGACCTCTTTGAACAACATCCCAATCATTCTTTGAAATGTGGCCATGGCGTTTTTTAGCCCGAACGACATAACGATATAACAGTATACACCGTCCGAGGTAACGAACACTGTTTTCTACGCATCATCTGGGTGCATGAAGATCTAGTGATACCCCCGAAAGGTATCCATGAAGCTCAGCAATTCGCACCCGGCAGTTTCGTCCAATAGTAAATCAATTCTGGGTACTAGATAGGGATCCATCGGGCATGCCTTATTCAGGTCGGAATAGTCCACACACATCCTCCAGGTTGTCCCCTTCGGAGCCAGAACCACGTTGGATAACCATTCCACATGTATGACTCGCTTAATATGCTTGATCTTGAGAAGTGTAGCAACCTCGGCCATTGTGAACTCACGTCGTGAGGCTTGTCACGCCCCGGACCTGCCCGGACACGTCAACAACCCGCCGTACAATACGAAGCAAGCTCTAGCCTCAACCTGAAATGGTGGTGGGATGCCCCCGAAGGGGTCAGTACTCTATAGGGCTATAAAGTACTGGTGTGGATGGCATCTAATAGATATACGACAAGCATTTCAAACACAAGACCCTCAAATAGGGTGATAATATAATCTAGGTCGTAACCCCAAGTTACCCCTTTTAAAAATATACCTACTTTATATAAAGTCAAGTAGTCGACCCGTAGGCCCAAGGTTTGTTACAAAACATCAACCCATACCCCGTGACTACCGGTCACGGCAATTCATAGGGTCCAACTCTAACACATATGTTTGCATTTCTAGAGTCCAACTCGAGTACATCACCATGCAAATCATATGACACAAGTTAATTATTTCACCGTGCATTTCTAGAGTTCTACTCAAGTACATCACCATGCACATCATAGGTTACAACCTTCAATCTCACCATGCATTTCTAGAGTTCAACTCAAGTACATCACCATGCATGTCATCATTCACAACCCATCGTCTACCCATGCACTTCTAGAGTTCTACTCAAGTACATCACCGTGCCATGGCATAGGCCCAATTCCTAAGCAACCTATGCCTAGAATTGACATATCAATAATTTACTTTGGGACACCCTTAAAGACTGCCCATAACATGATCTTACCTTCATACTAAATCAATTTAGTCACTTGAATCACATTCAAGTGCATCACTTACAATCAAATCCTTAGAATCAATTCTTTAACAATTACAAATAATCATTAACTAGTATTTCAATACTATTAAGATTATTCCTATCAATCAAATATTCCATTTGTAAATCCCTACATATTTAGAGAGACGTAGCAGCAACTTAAGCATCTAATGTAATACACAAATATTCATTTATGTATCTACACATTTCACACATGAGCAAAAATGCCTATTTTACATAATAGCTCATTAACAGCTCATTTAACTCTATTTTTATCAAAATGATTTCAAATCATCTCCAATTTCATTCCTTATCCAATATATCAATATTTCATCAACAATCAATCATCTTAATCCATGAAAACATGATTTAGACATTTAGGTAATCTCATGCTTAACCTACAAGTTGTAAGCAACTAGATGTCGATCCTCACTTCAAATGAGCTTTAAACCTTTCCTTCTCAATCCAATGCTCAAAGCTTCGGCCAAGGAAGTTTGAGAAATGATTCCTTGCTTACAAATGATTGTTAGACAGCCTCCTCAAGGTGCTAGCTCAACTCCTAACCGATGATACGAAAACAACCTCTAGAATGGATGTTTTCCGGCGAAATTGTTTCCTAACCTTTCAAGGTTTGTTCTAGGTTAGAATCTAACATTTACTTCAATATAATAACCTTACAAGGAACATATTACACTTGAAATAGTGTATAATAGCTCCACCAATCGTTCATATCATTTATACAATGAAAAGGAAGATTTTGGGTACAAACTTACTATGAATACAAAAACGTATTCAGCGAGGTATCGTTTTCCTTTGATGATTTGGAGGCCTTAAACTGATCCGTTTTCTGCAAACTGCACATGTACGGATTCCATATCTCGAGAGATTTCTGTAGACACCTCACACGCATTATTTGTATGAGTGTAGCTCGAGATATGGCTCAGACAAATTAGAGAATATTTTATTGGGCCAGACAATAAAATTACTTTGATATTTTAAGGACGTTCGGGTGCGGTGTCACAGACTGGTACCTATTTTACCTTGATATTTTACCCGAGTTTAAAATATCAACAATTAGAGAAGATTTTATCTCTCAACATAGTGGATAATCAAAGACCGCACTTATATTTAGTTTCTCATGCGATGGATCTCTTGTTGTCCAGAGATTCTTTGTCACTTCCGGCCAATGGGAGTACAAATGAATGGATTTTATCCAATATTCATATCGCCACAGATATTCCTTTGAAGTTGCTTTATCAAAGGAGAACTCTTCGTGTGTCACTGTATACAATAAAATATCCTTAAGCTATTGACAAATGCAATCAGAAGCATAAACTTATTGGGCAGCTTACTTCACTCCGATCTATACTGGTTCCTTTGAAGTTGCTTTATCAAAGAAGAACTTTATTTATATCAAATAAGCGTTCGTGATCTGTTTTTTCACAAATAGAAAAATCATTATGGTAATATGTTCTTGATCAAATCTATCACTAGTATAGATTTTCTTTAATTAAGTTTGGAAATTTATTTGTCCAAATAGCTCTAGGAAGATTTCTTTATAAAAAAAATTGTTATTTTATTAGTTCAAAACTAATTATAACAACACATCTCACTTATTAGTGTGAGTAATGATAGTCCAGTTCGAATTATTGAATTCGAATTAAATCGGGAAAAATCATTTTAGACATTTCATGATATTTAATCTAGAAAAATAGAGACTATATAACAAGGTTCTTAGTAACGGTCTTCGAAAGTCATTTGGATTCATTTGTAAAGTCATTTGGATTCATTTGTGTGAATCTCAAAAGTGATCATAGGTGTGAGATGCATCCCCAAAAATGAATGAAATTAGCAAATGTGTCGACATTACACCCTCTACCTTAATGGGGGAAAATGAGAGGATGCAAAAAAATGAAATTTGTATTATAAAGTGAAATCAGAGAGTCAATGCTCTATGACTACTCGTATTATTATTTCAAAACATTTTAAATAACATAGTTCCCTTATTCTAGGCAAACTGCCTGTAGTCTATGAATGGACTATACAGCAGCACATATATTAGCAAAGTCAGCAAACTAAAAAATTGCAATTCACAAGCCTAGCAGGGGAAAGAATAACATTGACACCTACAGGCCTGCTAGATAAATCATAAGCATAGGATATTACGGTCACGGGAAAAAGGTGATCCCGTAATTGACACCATCTTTTTTTTATTAAATATATTCTTTGTATATATCTCTTTTTGGCATTTTTGATATCATCGATCGATTCATGTTAGCCGACCCCAAATTCTTTTGGGATTAAGGCTTGGTTGTTGTTGTTGTTGTTGTTGTTTGTATTCTTTGTATACTGAATTCGCACGCAGCAAATATAGTCTAAAAAAATTTCATATCCGAGTGATTTTTAAGCTCTATTACGTAAAAAATTGTGAAAACTCTATTACGTATATGTAATGTCTAATATGTTGATTTGAGTATTTAATAGAGTAATCTTACGTGATTATGGTTCCAACTATATATAAGTGACATATAGCATTACGGAAAAATATAATCACATAATATGTATAAAATAAATAAAAAAATGCATAATATGATCTTAATTCCAACTATATGTATTAAAATGCAGCTTTACGGAAAGTATAATCATATAAAGTGCATGAAAATAGGGTTAATTCGTGATCTTAATTCCGGCATATAGCTTTACGGAAAAATAGGATCACATGTATATATACAAGGAAGGAAGATGCATAATATGATATTGATTCCAACTATATGATTATAACATATACCATTACGCAATTATATTCAAAAATTGCATCTATCTCCAAAAAATGAATGAGGCATAACATTAAATACTTGGTGTGCAAGAAGTAGATTTAATAAAAAAAATCAGCGTCCAGGAGACTATATGTATGCAGACCAATGGAATGAATATAAAAAAACTCGATGAATTAACTCTCGAATTAACCAACAATGTCAATGAACACAATCTGAAATTAAAATTTCAATCGAGGATGAAATTTACTTCGATGAATAGTAGCGGAAATCGTTGATTGCGGTGGCGTTTTTGGTGCTGGACGGCTGGTTGGCTTGATTGCTGCGGCGTGTTGTGGTGCTGCGGACTGCTGCAGCGTGTTGTGTTGGAGTGAGCTGGTGCAGCGAAGTGTTCCTAAGGTTTCATTACCAAAAGCTGGTGAGGGAGTCGGGGAAAATAGATTTAGGGTTAAGGCTACGTGCGGATAACATGTTGTAAGGAGAAATGTTCCTAAGGTTTCATTACCAAAAGCCCTATAAATAAGGATAAAGTAGGTTTACAATTACGAGCCAATAGACCCATAATACATAATTTACATAAAAAGCTCCTAACACATTCTATCCATCCACACAAAATTTCATTCAACAATTTCTATATTTCGGAAGTATTTACTTCACGCACTGTGTATGTATTCTTAAAAAAAAGATGACACCCCAACTCCGACCGGACGGTACGTCGGGAGAATTAAATTGGACTATAATCCCAATCCCAATCTGACAGATAGAGAGTAGTGTTCTGTCCCTGTTACTTGCAGAGGCCTATGCATTTTTAGCATAGTAACCCCTCATCGCAATTGACGTGCATTTTTAGCATAGTAACCCCTCATCGCAGTTGACGGGATTCAAACCCGGGATTAAACTTGTGGCACTCGCTTGCTACCGCTACACCCACCTGTTGTATTCTTAATTATTGCACCGTGAACTGCTATTTTTTTTCAAACAGTGTTATAACTGTGTAAGCACCCACAGTTCTTGTATTCTTCATTCTTGGCTGTGTAAGCACCCACAGTTCTTGTATATTCTTCATTCCTGGACATATATGTCTACAAATCTGGGCTGCGATCAATGACTCCATCCTCCAAATTTTGAAATACAAAAATTGGGTACTGTCTCTTTCAATACTCTTCTTGCATTTCACCTTATTTTTTCACACTTAAACCTTTGTTGTTATCTTTTGGTGGTAGTCAGTTGGTGAAAGGGTGGGTTTTAAAGAATGAAATGAAAAGAAGACAACCGTACAAATTTGAAGAAAGGGTTGAAATGGGTTGCCTCTGATCTAGGGCACTCAACTTGTATGTGAATCAAAAGAAAGGGTTACCCCCCTTTTCTTGTGATTCTCTGAACTTGGATGTGCCTTTCCGAGGTTCTTTCACATGACGTTATTTTCCTTTGTCTTTTTGTTGTGCATAATTTCTGAATATATGCTCTTCTAGTGAATTTAATGATCCTCTGGGCTGTGTTTCATTCGCACTCCATTACGGAGTATTTGTTTGTGGGTAAAGAAGGGTCTTAAGATTCTATTTCTATTTGATTTAATTTACTTGTACACAGTTCTACCGCGATTGTTTGTTGATGTTAATTTTTGGGGTGACCAGATCTGGCTAACAGTTTGCGTAGCATACGGAGATTTGGGGGCTTTTATGATTTTGTTGTTAGATATCTGATCTCCGCAGTATGGAGAAGGTGGTGTGGATGGAATTAGTCTTTGCGTCAGGATTATTAACCTTGGTAATTAAGGGAGTAGGCGAGGTAGTTTAACAATGACAGGTTCTCTTCTTCTAGAGGTTAGCTTTCATTACTACTCCTTGAATAGTGATTTTGATGGACAAGATGTATCAAGCCGTTGTGATTCCATTTAGTTTAGGCAACTTCATCTCTGATAACCAAATCCACATGGATGTCACTAACCTAAATGTGATTAGTGATTCTGAGAGTGAGCTTAATGTCACAATTTCGAGTACTGCCCGGGAGAGTGAGGATGATGATCTGATTCTTGACACATCATGTCCCGTATCCGCGGGGAGTGATTCTATGAGCATATGCAATGATGATTTGTTAGCTGAGTTGGCGAGTGCTGAAGGGTCCCGCCCTAAACCAACCATTGTTCACTATCAACCGCCCACCGTTGATAAAGGGTCTCTGGGTCGAATCGTGAGCCGGAGTGTTTTTGAAGTGGATTATGTGCCGCTTTGGGGGTATGTGTCTGTGTGTGGAAGGAGGGCAGAAATGGAAGATGCAGTTTCAACTGTGCCGAGGTTCTTTAAGGTTCCTCTGGAGATGCTAATCGGCAATCCTCTGCCAGATGGAATGAAAGGGAATTTGAGTCATTTGACTGCTCATTTCTTTGGAGTCTATGATGGTCATGGTGGCTCTCAGGTTAGACTTATCTCTTTCCCACTCTCGTTCACATGAACATTGCTTCAGGGTTAGCCCCATGCTGTTAGTTTTTACAATTAGGGATGGTTTTAGGAGAAGATAAAAATAAGGGACTAAAAATGATATTTACCCTTGAGGAAAAGTATAATTTCCCTATGGGAAAATTACTTTTTACATTACCTCTTTTGTTAAAAAAAGGGAAGTTTACCTTTTCACTGTGAGCGCCATTCTTTTTAGGAAAAGTACTATTTTTGCAGCTCAGTTGTGGAACTTTAGTGCTTTTGGTCCAGCTTTGTTAATTTTTGCAAAATTATCTCTACTTTGACCCTTTAGCGGCAGTTTTAGTCCCCAAAATAGCCACCAAGGGACAATGGGTACAAACTGGTGATGGTTTTTGCATAAAATTAACAATGAGGGAGTAAAAATGCTTCAACTGTAAGGACTAAAGGGAAATATACCATTCTTTCAACAAATAAATCGTACTTGATCCCATTTAAAAATCAAACCACATCCAAACCAGGGTCCAAAAAAATATTTCATGAACTATAAATCAAAACCAAGTCTTTCTAAAACAGCTCTTGATAGCTAAAAATGTAAACATTTTTTTCAGGTTGCAAGGTACTGTCGTGATCGGATTCACACTGCATTGGAAGAAGAGCTATGTAATGAACTAAGAAAAGAAAATGTAGAAAATACCCAAGCATTATGGAGAAGGGCATTTGGCAATTGTTTTGTGAAGGTTGATGCTGAAGTTGGGGGGCAGGGAAGTGTTGAGCCAGTTGCTCCAGAAACAGTGGGGTCTACGGCTGTTGTTGCCATCGTTTGTTCATCTCACATAATTGTGGCAAACTGTGGCGATTCAAGAGCGGTTCTCTGTCGTGGGAAAGAACCAATGGCATTATCTGTGGATCATAAAGTAAGACAAATCAAATTTGACTTCCTTTCCCTATACAATGGTATTGATGGTTTTTCTTTTCCCTATAGCCCAACAGAGAGGATGAATGTGAACGGATTGAAGCAGCTGGGGGGAAAGTTATACTGTGGAATGGGCATCGAGTCTTTGGCGTTCTTGCAATGTCAAGGTCCATAGGTATGTACTACGTAAATCTTGCAAATTATATGTTATTCACTTTGTACATGACAGTTTTTAGGGTTTCAATTGATTGTCCCTCAAAGGTTTTTTAAGGAATTAGGATTTGAACTGACCTACAAGGCAACATGGAATCAATAAGTCCTGCTAAGTAATGAACCATTGTTTGAAAACGGGATGGAAACATCAAGTTGCATATGTCACCCTTCACCAACATTACATACATACATATGCCATATATGTGTTTGTATTAAAATGGTCATTGATGACAACAGGAGACAGATATTTGAAACCGTGGATCATTCCGGAACCGGAGGTGTTGGTTGTTCCAAGAACAAAGGACGATGACTGTCTAGTTCTTGCCAGTGACGGATTGTGGGATGTGATGACGAACGGAGAAGTCTGTGATTTGGCCCGAAAGCGCATTCTCCAATGGCACAAGAAGAACGGTGGAGGCAGTGGCGAGAGGGGCGAGGGCATGGACCCCGCATCTCAAGCTGCAGCGGAGTACCTATCCACCCGTGCCCTTCAGAAGGGAAGCAAGGACAATATAAGTGTGATTGTGGTGGACTTGAAAGCTCAAAGAAAGTTTAAGAACAAAACCTAACCCTGTCCTCATAGTATAAAAACTTCACGCAGACAGCAGCATATAAGAACACCCCCTGTAGGTATTACTGCTACGACGTGTTAAGGGCGGCTCTTTTATAGTTTTTTTGTGTGTATTTTATTTTTATTTGAAACTGCATTTAGCTGGTTGAAGTAGATTTGGAAGGCATTCGTAAATGTGGTGTTTTAGGGGAGAAATTTACATACAATGTGGTTAGTGACTGATTAATTGTAAAAAGGGTTATTATTATGCCTCCGAATTGTAGAAGGCTTTGGAAGATGATATGCTCTTTCATTCAGTAAATAAATATATTTATGAGGTGAAAAAATGCATACGCCTTCATGTATATAATATATGTGTATAATAAAAACTAGACACTAAACATAGTCTATAATAAAAACTCCAAATGTAATAAAAATGGTAAAAATGTATTAAATTATACGGAATAGTTAATTACATATTAAATAATTCACTACTTCAACCTTGGTAAATCAAGCCTACGAGTTTTCATATTCTGAAAATGTTACATAATAGTTTCATTATCAATGCTTCTAAAAACATCTCTCTCGATGTAGCACACCAAACATATCGTAAGATAGTCATCTATCATCTTATTGCGAAGATATGTCTTGATAATATTCATCGCAGAGAATGCCCTTTCAACGGTGGCTGTTGAAATTGGTAATACTAAAGCCAACTCAATCAGACGATATACCAAGTGAAAAGAATTGTGAACTTTAAGCTCAACCATCTTTTTACAAACTTCACCGATAGTTTGTACGGCAGAAAATAATTCATTTGTTCTCATTTCATATGTCCACACCTGGAGTTGCTCTTTCACCTCCATTCGATCAACAAATGGAAAATCGCATGAATATAACTCCACAAGGTCAATAGCTTTGACTCACAGAAATTGGAGAACTTATCTCTAGGATCAAGACATGTTAATCAAGTGAGTAATTCTGTGTTTGACTCACTAAAGCCGTTCTCCATCTCAAGACTGATCTGATCAATAACCTACAATGAAAACAATAGTAACCTACAATGTAATTCGTAAACCGTCCATATGTTTTTTTTGGAGAACTTCAGCTTTTTCCATTCTAGTCTTTCAAATGTTAGTGGGTTTTGTTTTTAGACTTTTAATAGTTTTAGTTGCCTGCACATTTGACTACTCTTTTGCATTTTAACTTTTTTTGTTACTTTTTGTTTTCAACCCTTAATTATTATTATTTTTTTGATAATTCTATATCTTTTATTTTAATTCAACTAAAATTGAAATATTTTGTATTAGGAAAAATGGTCAGATAGGGCCCCGAACTTACAAAAAAATGTCAAATAAAGCCTTATATAGGAGGTTCTGTCCGGCCGACGCCATTTGGAGCAGTTCTCGGTGGAATTTTTCAATGCAACTTTTTGAGAATCTTATTCATTAAGTCTAGTTTACTCATACCAATTTTCAGCTAAAACTTAAAACGGGAAAACATTCAAATAAATTCTCGAAGATAAGTGCGCAGTTAAAAGCGCAGTTATCTTCAAGAATTTATTTGAATGCATTCCCGATTGAAGTTTTAGCTGAAATTCGGTACGAGTAAACTAGACTTAATGAATAAGATGCTTACAAAATTTCGTCGGAAAATTCCACTGGAAACTGACCCAAATGGCGTCGGCCGGACAGAACCTCCTATATAAGGCCTTATTTGACATTTTTTTGTAAGTTCGAGACCCGTTATTTTTTATTTATATAACTGTAACATTTTACTATCTTAATTATCAAATATTGATATGAAGCGGGGACACTAGTTGTTACCTTAAGTGCTACTAGTGAAATTTCAGGCTCGAAGCAGGGGCACGTACCCTCCCTAGCCCCCCTTAGGCCCTCCACCGCCTTCGTCTAAATTTCATAGTCGTTGGAGGAGTGGGTTTGAATCGACTGGCCCCCCTCGAAGCATGTGAGATCGTACGATATTTTGTTGGAAGTGCAGGAATTTTCTGCATCAGTTGAAAAAAGAATGCACTTGATGAGTCTTAAAGTTCATAGTTTAACGTTTGTTTATGTTCGATTTGTAACAATACAACTATCCCAAGCAAAACAAACTGAATCTCAAGAAAACTGAAACTGAACTCAAAAACTAAATAGAATCACATTGTTTGGTTTCAGTTATGATTTTCACCTCTAAAAACCAAATCAAATGGAACAATCTGAACTTTTTAAAATATACTATTTTATTTATTCATTAATCATGAAGTATATAATATTTTCTTTAGTTCTTAATTCTTTTTAAGGCAAAACGCTAAACTATATTGATTTAACCAATGGTTCGTAGTTACAATAAACCAATAACTCAAACTCCAACAGTGTTACAACAATCTTTTAAGAGTCTCCATCGAGACTCAAGAGAAGGCATACGATCAAATTCTGAGACCACTACCTCCAAAGAAGCAACGCGAATCGCTGACCACCAAACAGGCAACATAGACTTTTGACCCTTAAGCTCATTGTACTCTTTACCACATCAACAAACTCAAAATAATCAAAAGTCTTCTCAGTTCCTGATCAAACATAGAAAAGTTCACTCAAAACATATGAAAACTTTTTGCGGAACATACAGGAGCTTCGAGACTAACACTAGCATAAGCACCTCGGAAAAACCACTAACACAAACAGACAAAAAACAATGTAAAGAAACATCAATAAAGTTGAAAAGAAATATGGAACAATAAACCACCTGCAGCCAAAACCAATCTTGAAGCGACGTCTTCCAACCCCTAACCACACGATCCGTCCATGTCGGTGGTTCAGGCGGGGGCGGATCATCAATACTCCATCTTCTTCCTCACCCTTCTCCATGTTCATCACATTCTCTGTCATGCCACCATCGGGCACAGTAGCTTTTCTTATGAATATCTGCCCTTGCTGATAGGACACCAATCGATGCCTTCATCAAAGGAATCTCAAATTAACTAAATTATTCTCTTCAAACTGAGATGAAATCTAATGATTAACTCAAATCATCATAGTTGCATGTTTGGAGAAAATGGCGGAAACAAAAAACCCTACATGAGAGGAAAACGACTGCAACATCTCAACACAGCTCACCCTGATTCGAATATATTGAAGGTTTCAATGGCATCTACGAAGGGCCTCAATGCTATATTGATATGCGGCAATTAGGTGTGTTTATTTCATAGTTTCATTGGCGTCAGGTTTGCTCCATGCTGTTTGTCCGACTGAGTTCTTCTTTGCCTGCGGGTTGGCTATGTTCCCTTGTGAATGTTTGTTTTGCTAAATCATGTTATTTTACTTGCTTATTGGCTACATTTTTCTGTGAGCTTTTTGTTCATCGTTTTAATGCACAATATTCCTCTTGCTAATGAGAAGATGTCGAAGCTAAATTTGAACACCCAAATCAAAATTTATAGGAAATCTCAGAAGAACAAAAGACGGTACAACATGAGAACTAGATCTCGGATCAAAGAATTTCTTTGGGCCTAGTTATTTATTTTACTTTATTTCCCTTAATGTTTTTTTTGTATTTTCCCTTTTTGTTCTGTTTTATTTTTGCTTTGTACCCCTTCATTTATTTTTCAATAAAATCCTTCTTTTATAAAAAAAGATGAGAAGATGTCGAAGCTACGCTATATATATTTCGTATATAAACTTATGAGTTTAATTATTTTAAAAAATGTTTAAAGAGATATACACTCTTTAGTTCATTGCTTGGAAGTGAATTTATTTCTCGTCTCATTTTAATAATGTTTTTTTTTACTATATTACTTTTTTTGGCAAATGTATCATATTACTATTGATTATTGTTTAATGTAGTTTTTGTTGTTTTTGTTTTCCAATTAATATGTTTTTTAATCAACAAAATATTTTGGCAAAAACCAAAAAATGAAATTGAACCGAAATAAATCAAACCGAACTAATCGTGATTTCAAATTTTGAGAGATAAAACCTAACTAAACTTTTCACTTTAATTCGACATTTAGTTTTAGATCAAAACTAAACCGTTTGAACCGAATCCACTCTTAAATACAACACCCACACATATTCATAGGGAGATTTACCATAGGACTAAAACATGTTTTTTTCCAAAATAGAACCACCTAGTTTAAACATCTTTAACTACTGCCCCTGATCTACTGACTGTCACCTACCGCAGACCACCTGCTGCCGCCGCCGAACTGTCCCCCCCGTAAAAATTTCCAGTTATTTTTTCCTGGCAACCTGCCAGTTTTCTGGCGTCGCCGGAGATCGCCGCCGCCACAAAATTAGAGTGCCTCTGCTACCAACGATCTGCCTTGGTTGTGCAAGAAAACTAGGGGGGACAGTTAATTGGATTAATTGATTAATTAATTCAATTTGGGGTAAAAATGGAACGGTTTGTCATGTTTAGGGAAAATTAAACATCAAGCATGTTTTTATTTGGACCGTTTTCAAACCCAGACCAGACAAGACTTAAACAGATCAGAACAGACCAGACCGCACTTAAACATATTAGACCAGACCAGACTTAACTTTCACAGTTATAAAATACACAGAGACCACACATTTACCAGACCGGACTAGTTCTAACCAGACCTAAACAGACCGGACCAGACCAGACCAAACCAGCAAATTGCAGTACAAGTAAAAACATCCTAAATCCTATTTTGGGAAAACCCCTATGCTTTTATTGATATTCAATAAAAAATAAAAGATGTGAATATGGTATTTGGCATGTTGGTTTCAGATGTCTGATGGCAATGCAGATTGTCCGATGAATGTTATCAAACAAATTCCCTCCGTCCTTTAAGAGTTTGCCATTTTTTTAGGATGTCCGAAAAACTTTGACACTTTCCTTTTTAATCAACTAATTTATGGTTCATGTTATTTCTCTGTTTTGCACAAACATCAACCACACAGTTTCTATTTTATTATTCTTGGTGGCGATCAAAGATGACAATATTTTAAGGATAGGAGTAAAATTTTTAGTGCAATGCTCTCCTATATTACCATTTGATGAGTCTAAGAGTTCAAACTGTGCCGTTTGTGCATCTATGGTAAAATATATCATACAACCGGCTTTACCGTGCGCACAGTACAACCGGACTTTATGTTCTCTGCGCAGCACATGTCGTTGTCCCCAAGAGGCTTCCCTCGCACAGTCTGGGTCTCTTCTTCGTCCCTCGAAGGCTTCGCTCGCGTTGTCCGGATCTCTTCTCCAGTTCTTCCCAGCTGGCGTGGTTTGTCGCTTCCTCGCCAAAGGGATCGCTTCGCTCGCCTCTTGAATCTGTGATGATGGAGCCCTCAACCAAGGTTTATGGTGGATTTCGCGATTGACGGGGAAAAGGGCATCTCAACCCTATATTTGGCTCTTGTTTCTCCTTTTCTTCTTTTTCTTACGGAGTATACACGTAGTTTTCCTGATGAGTATACACAAATAAAAGTTGAGCCTAGTAGAGATTTAAATGAGCTTTTTTGAATTGTCCGATGCTCATTTGGTAATTTGTGTATGCTCATTTGGTATTGGTGTAAACTCAATTTAAAATTTCATATTCATGCATATTTCAAAAGTATAATATTACATCAAATTTATGTATTGTATTCATACAGGTTCATTGTAAATGTTTTTAAAATAAGAAAAATAAAGTCAATCATAAGATATGAATCTGATATCATGATGGTCATTATTAGACTCTCTTACTCAGTAGAATAGATCAAATGCTCATTACAAGTGAATTAATGCTCATTGAGCGGAAGTCGCGAATTTCACTGAAATTACCAACATGTCACCGACTGTACAGTGCAATCCGTACAACCGGCTGTATGGTATACAGCTTCGTGCATCTATAGTGATATGTCCACTAGACCATTAAATTGTTGTTCAAACAAACGAAGTTACTTTTATTATTCTTTCATTTTAAGTTTAAACAAAAGGAGCTACTTTTATTATTGAAAGAATGGCAAAAATATCACCTATGGACTTTGACTAGACAAAATTATGACCATTTTTACTTTGGACAAAAAAGTGACCTAGATAAACAGCACATCCCATCGTCTTTGCACCGAGCGCAACATCGATCTGGACTCTCTGCGCCTTCTATCTTTGCACATCGCGAACGTCTCTGGAGAGCAAATCGCGAACGTATCTGGAGTTCGGAGAGCACATCGATGGCCATCAATCTCCAACGCCGACTTCCACCTCTATCTTCTCCTTCTCCTTTCTTATTTATCGCCAAATCTCGTCACCAGCTTCCATGGAGCTCGCCGTCCTTGAAAGATCTGATTTTTTTGCAAGACGATCTCATCGATCGGCGACATCATTTCCTCTATGGCGGCCGGCTGTGGCCGGTGGCATCAGGTTTTGGCGGTGGCAGGGATGGGGGAACTTGGGCTCGGGGATTGGGATGGGGGAGCTGGGTCAAGGATTGGGATGGGGGATCTGATGATGAAACAGGGGCCAAGGAGATGGGGTGGGGGAGTTGGGGGTCGGGGATGGTGGTTGGGGAGGGGGCTTGGGGAATGAGGAGGTGGCTGGGGGATCGGAGGGGTTGGACGCTAAGGAGGGGGAAGGTGACTGGAGGCTGCGCTGATGGTTAGGCTGGGGACGAGGGTTGTGAGTACGGGAGGGATCGTGTCACTATGGCCGGAATCGACGTGTCACTATGGCCGGAGTAGACGTGTCACTGTGGCGGTGTCACTGTAGCCCGTGGGCGGGTGGTAGACACCATAGAATGGAGTCACTATGGTGTTGTCACTGTAAAATAGTCACTGCAGCATTGTCACTGTAAAATCGTCACTGTAGCATCATTATTGTAACTTTCAGTCACATTTTTGGAAATTTGAATAAAAGGTCAATTTTTTGTCAACCACCAATTTATTAGTAATATTGAGGTAAAAAACCCCTTTATTATTTTCTCGTTTTAAGTTTGGGATATGGTAGAAGTGTCAGAGCAGAAGAGGCTAGGTCTACTAGGTTTTTTTTGGTGCGGCAGTTCTACTCGTCCGCAGGGTTTTGTTTTGCAGCAGGGGTTTTCATCGCAGCAGGGGATTTCATTTTCGCAACAGGGGTTTTGTCTGCGGCAGGGATCCGCTTCGCAGCAGGGTTTCGTCCGCAGGTCGGCAATAGAGATTCGGAACCGCAGGGATCCGTCCATAGTGTTACTTCACACACTGTTCATACATAGCGAGGCTTCCTCTCAGCGCGATGGAGTCCAACAGATTTGATGCGAGGCAGCGATCAAGCACGGCGCTGTTTCGACAGAAAAACGCGAGGCCCGATTTTCCGATGTTTGGTTTGGGTATTTTGGCTTTGAGGGTAATTCAGATGGGAGGTGCATCAGCTGTGTTCGATCCGGGTGGAACGCCGGTGGTATGGGTCCCGATTAAAGGGGGCTAATTTGGGCTCCATTCAATTTTTGGGGGATCAGCGCGGTTGTTTTGGCCGCCTCAAGTGGTGGAGGAAAAAGATGATATGAGGATGATTCATCCCCCTCCTGAACTGCCGCCACAAAGGAATTGCGTGACTCGGGTCTGGAAGATCCCGCTTGAAGTATGGATTACACGGCTCTACCAGCTGAACTTTATTTATTTTTGCTATGTTCTGTTTGTTAATCTTTACTTTGTTTTTATTAGGTCAAATAACATGGGTGGTAGTTTCTTAGATTGGCTTACCTTAGTTGCTAGATTTCTGTTGAGAGGCAATCAGGCTGACTCAGCCGCTAATAGTTTCAAAGCTCTCACATTGTCAGCGATTAGTCTCGCTCTGCTTGGGGTTAACTACTCTATGTCTGATAAAGAAGCGAGGGGGCCAATGGGCTTATGGGTATGTTTGTGTAGAGGGAGATTCATGTCGGGTGATTACTTTTGTTTTCCAGTTCTTCTGATTGTACTGCGAGTTTTTGAGTCAATATAATATGCCAGTTTCCTATCAAAAAAAAGTTTGGGATATGGTAGGGAGGAGATGCATGTTAATTGAAACTAAAATTTTGAAACGTGGACCATATCCCAGAATTTAATATCCTTCCCGTGTGAGAGGTCTTGGATACAACTTTGGAACATACAAAAAGAAATCCTGGAGTTTATTTTGAGATAGAGAGAGTGAGGGAGTACATAATATTATCATAAAGAGTAAAATGTGAGCCCGTTTGGTAACACTGAAATTGGCTGAATCGGCTGATTCTTTTGAAATTTATGAAGTTCTGGATGAAATGACTAGATCGACAGATTATGCCGATTTATGATTAAAAAAATTAAAATAGTTTACATTAATATAATAAAGAATTTTTTTATGAAAAATAGCTGAAAAGATCATCTACAGTAACTTCAGTAAATACAACCAGAAAAGTAACTTCAACCTTACTTTTTCTTGTTATTACACAAATCAGCGTGAAATCAGTAGTTACGTGTTTGGTAAAAAAGTTGGCTGATAAGCCTGATAAGTAAAAACAAAAACAAGGTCACCAAATGGGCTATGCGATAGTAATATCCATACCTTGTACATGAGGAATATATTTTAAATAATTTAAATTTGTGAATTAGTGAAAAAGAAACAAAGCATAGAAATGATTTAATAAAGTGATGACATGAAAACATTATAGTGATGGAGAAAAATTAATGTTACATGATGATGAAGGAATAATATGAAAAAATATGTAAAAGAAGCGAAAGATGATAAAGATTATAGAAATTACTCTAAATAGGAATAAAATTATAGCAAAAATTCAAAATAGGACTTGTTATGTTTTTATTCCAAAATAGGACCATATCACTCCTATTGGAAATATACCTATTTTTTCATTTCATTCTTACCCCTCTTTTAAATATGATTAAAAGGTAGTCAAAAGTCATAATTTAATGTTTAATTCATAATAATTCCGATTTTTTTAAAAAAATCGTAAAAAAATAATAAAAAACTAATAAAATATTTATAAAATAATTTTTTTAACAAAATTAAAAATTAATAAAAAATAGTAAAACTCCATAAAACAATATGGATCCCTTTCCCACCGCCTGTACTGCCTTCCTGCACCACCACCTCCGACCGATGTAAAAAATGTCATTTTTTTTCCTGAAAATTACAAAAAAAATGACACATTACTCTTTGAGAATGCCAAATGTTAGGGTTAAGTACCGAATGACCCGAAGGCCCAACAACAACCTTGAATCTGGGGTAAAATTGCTACAGTAATGTGTATAAAAGAAATATAAAAACTGATAGACTCACTCAAATAGTCTTGCTTGTATTAGCACAGTAATAGTGATTACACGGAAATGGCATAACGGTAGTTACGGTCCAGAGGCTAATACAAGAGCTAAATACAATATAAGCTTGAGAGTAAACAAAATCTAACCCTTACAATGAATTAAATGCTGCTATTTATACTAGATGGAGGTATGGGGTGCTCTAATATGATTGGTTGCCTCCCATGCCACTTGACACCCCATGATCTAGCATTAATTGCAGTCGGTTACTCGAGCAATATCCCGTTCGGGATTAAGTCCACCTAAGTCATCAATCAGGAATAAGTTAATTACCTAAGTAATAATTATATCCTGTTCGGGATGTGCCGAACGGGGCCTGCCATTCGGGCCTGATGATTCTCCCTGAGCCTTTCCTTGCGCCTGGGTTTCAGGGATATTTTGGGCCGCCGTATTGGGCCGGACCTTAATATACCATCATAAGTCCCCCACTTCTCATGTTCCGAGCGTGTTCAGGACATAAGGAAGTAGAAAAAGTGATCTTTCCACCGTTCGGTGATCTCGTTCGTGCTCTTTGGTAGTGTTTGCCTGCTCATGACATGACGGTTCGAAACTCTGTGGTGGCTCTCGCTTGTATTCCCCATGTAACCGTCATGATTACTTGGCATTTCGCCTGCGTTCGACACGTGTCCCTTGGAGCGTCCCTTGCTACGTGTTCGCCTGGGATTGATCCGCGATTCGGCGTCTTTTCGTATAAGTGTGACTTTGGGCCCTTGGATCCGGGTTTTCGAATTTTGCATCTTCGTCCAAGCGCTCTGCCTTCTCTCCAAATACCTAAATTTCCTAGGCTCGCTCAAGTAATCACCAACCTTCTTCTTTCTGTTTTCTCTTCCGGTTCGTCACAAATGTCAAAGAGTTCTAGTTCTTCTGACCCCTCAATTATTGAGCGGGGTCGAGACTCTGATATGAATGCCACTTTGGATGATACCGTGGGCACTAGTGCTGCTGCCGAAAATGTGGCCGAGGATGCCCCTTCTAGGAGCCTGCACCCCCAACCGACGATGAGGCCGATGAAGAAGAGGACGACGAGGCCGAAGTGTAGAGATGCCGGCGATTAGTTTTATTTTGATATTTTTATGTATTTACCTATTTCCTTTTCTC